CGACCACATCTGCACACAACATTCAAGATGTGGGCGTACCATGAATTTATATAGAGGCAATATGATATTTTCTCTCATTATCTATCCCTTTTTTTAATGATTCCCAATATTCTGTTCACTTTTTTTGACTGCTGCTGCACATTAAGTGGACGTTTTCAGACAACTATCCACAATGACTTCAAGATCTCTTTCTCGAGTGGTAACAGCTAATTTAGACCCCATCATTTTATATGTATAGTTGGGATTATGTTTTCCAATGTGCATTACTTTACATTTATCAACACTGAATTTCATCTGCCATTTTGTTGTCCAGTCACCCTATCTTTTAACTAGTTACCAATCCATGAGATGACCTTCCTTTTTATCCCATGACAGCTTACTTTGCTTCAGAGCCTTTGGTGAGGGACCATGTCAAAGGCTTTCTGAAAATCTAAGTACACTATATCCACTGGATCCCCTTTGTCCACATGCTTGTTGACCCCCTCAAAGAGGCATGATTTTTTTTATAAAAACCATGTGGACTCTTCCCCAACAAATTCTGTTCTTTACTATAGTTTCAACCAGTTTGCCCGGTATTAAAGTCAGGCCTGTAATTGCCGGGATCACCTCTGGAGCCCTTTTTAAAAATTGGCGTCACATTAGCTATCCTCCAGTCATTTCGTACAGAAGCTGATTTAAATGATAGGTTACAGACTACAGTGAGTAGTTCTGCAATTTCACATTTGAGTTCCTTCAGAACTCCTGGGTGAATACCATCTGGTCCTGGTGACTTATTACTGTTTAGTTTATCAAGTTGTTCCAAAACGTCCTCTAATGACACCTCAATCTGAGACAGTTCCTCAGATTTGTCACCTAAAAAGAATGGCCCAGGTTTGAGAATCTCCCTCACATCCTCAGCCATGAAGACCGATGAAAAGAAATTAATTTAGTTTCTCTGCAATGGCCTTATCATCCTTGATATTACTTTTTGAGTCTTTGGCTAGATATTTCAAATTCTTTTTTGGCCTTCCTAATTATATTTGTACACTTCATTTGACAGAGTTTATGCTCCTTTCTATTTTCCTCACTAGGATTTAACTTCAACTTTTTAAAGGAGTTTCTATTTTATATAAATTCTTATATCACACTCATCCCCACAGTATCTGAATATTTCCAGATTCTCACAATTAGATTACCAAAGGGATCCTTTGGATTGCATGCCTGCTTTATTTAATGGACTCATTTTAAGCGCTCTTTTGCCCCAGTCTCAAAAACTGATCCAGAGTGGGACATACTACTTTGAAATTATAAGTACCACTTGCTTTACCTACACCTGTTCCAAGTAAATACTGGAGAGGTTAGCTTTTATTGTCAGTGTAGAGACAAAGAAAGTGTTTAATATCAAATAATAAAATCAGAATAGATCCTCAGGCAAGTGTCACCTTTGATGGCTGTCTTAGCAGACACCAAGAACTTGACCTTCCTCCCCGAAGTCCCTTCATAACAGGGTGTAGAGGCACTTTAAAGGAGAGGTGCACAGGAAGTTTACACTGCTGATATTAATGCTATGACTATTTTAATGAATAAATACTGTCAATGCCTGTCAATCCATTAGCATTCACTAGGACTAAATTTACAATTTATTCCATTCCATTAAAATGAGACTTCGATATTAAAAACGTTGCAAAACAAATAGTAGCAAAAAGAATAATTTATAGCTATAAAGATAAGCCAGATACATTCTAGTAGTAGCAAAAAGAATAATTTATAGCTATAAAGATAAGCCAGCAGCGAAAGAATGAATTACATTGTTAGCAGATACTGCTTCCTAGGGCTGACCAATTTAAAATACGAGGTAATTTAAATTAGGATAATAAGATATAAATCAGGGGTTCTCAAACTGGGGGTTGGGACCCCTAAGGGGGTCACGAGGTTATTATATGGGGGGTCGTGAGCTGTCAGCCTCCATCCCAAACCCCGCTTTGCCTCCAACATTTATAATAGTGTTAAATATATAAAAAGGTGTTTTTAATTTATAAGAGGGGTTGCACTCAGTGGCTTGCTATGTGAAAGGGGTCACCAGTACAAAAGTTTGAGAACCGCTGTGAAGAGATGCTTCCTTGAACAGATTATAAAATAAAATAAACAAACAAACACAACACACTTTTGTTAAGTAAGGCCGAGTTAATCAAAAGTCTTATATAAAAGTGTGAAGAATTAAAATAAATGGTATATTATTCTGCACTGATTAATCTGTTATACTGTTTACAGCATATTTAAAGTTTGATAAAGGTACACAAGGCAAAAGTTAAACATTTATTTACCAAATACAGTAGTCATTTATAAGAAAAATAAAGTTCTTCTAAAACTTTTGATAATTTTTTACACTAGACACCCTATTTCTATATCCATTCTCTCTGACCAAACAGTTCAATTGGAGACACCGCAGAAATCTGAATAGGATGTACTGGAATTGTGAGGAAAAGTTACAGACACATGTTAGATGGGCAACGGCGAATAAGCCAGCTGGAACTGCTACATTTAACCTTTCATGGAAGAAAACTGAGGGTAGGAAGAAAAAACACACAAGCATCTTTTATTCATGTTTTCAGTAGGAATTCAATTTAAATGAAAAATAGAAACAGATTTAATCCATACAAAATAAAGTCAGGTATAGCGACACTTAACAGCAAACATGAAGTAGTATGATGGGCATTTAAAATTCTTAAACACAAAAATTAAACATTTTGAACCTAGCTTTATTAGAGATGGGGGAGGATTTGACAGGGCTTATATTTCCATTGTATCTGTGATATAGTTAGTCTTATTTTGTGGGGGGTTATTTAAAAACAGATTCATAACGTGTGAAGGTAAGCAGACATCTGAGGGGGGTGTGTGTGTACGTGGAAAATAGAGAAGAGATCTGAGAAGAATACTTACCCATTTTACATAGAAACATTTTTAGACTGAGTCACCATTGTTCTTGACCTAAACACTGTGTGTTTACTGACTGGGGAATTACCTAGTGAATCAATGGCCAGGTCTGTCTCTTTTAAAAGGCAGAAGGAAAGAATGCAAGAGAAATGTGTTTGTAGAACTATGTTTTGCTAAGGCCTGGCTTGTCACGGTCCATGTAACAGTATATGGGATTTTTAACCCTGTTAGTGAAAGAACTCTGAGCAGCATTGTCCTGTTCAGCCATATACCTATTAGCAGCAAGTCCCATCTGTGTAGCCTGCATATGTTCCACATGGTGCTGTCCCCTGCGTGCTGCTTACCAGGTGTGGAAGGCAAACTGCTCTTATACCCACGTGGAATGTGTCTCTACTACAGAGTTACCATGTGTAACAGCTTGAGTATTCCCATTAACTCGACCACTGCCCACACCCAAACCTCTCTCTCAGGTGTGGTGGTGCTAGTAACACCAGTTGGCAGGCATGACCAGGCATATGACAGTTCTTGAGTGAGCTGCCCTTGTCAGCTGTCACTGTAGCGTGAATGTAGGCTGGAGCTGACACAATTGAGGGCCACTAGTCCTCCAATGCCTTCCCACAATTTCCGCAGGGCCCTTTGCACTGTTTGTGGAGTCTGTCAGCTCTACACACTCCCATCTAATCTATCTTGGTATTTATAACTGCACTTGTCACTACAGTGTCTGAGTGCCTGGGCTTAGTTTCTCTTGCATACGCAGAGCTGATTGGATTACATGTGCAGAGCTGAGCAACCCCTCTTGCATTTCGTATTTCATATTGCAGTTGCCTCTATGTTATGTATTCCACAGTCAGTGCTCTTTTCTAAAATGTACCATCTGGTTTATGTCTATGGGTTT